TATATTGTGCTTTTAGAAAATCCCTTCTTTCAAAGAGGAAGTTTCAATAAAAATTTGTTTTTTACGTTCACCTACCATTGCTTAAATGGCTTCTTTTCTATTAATTACTTCTTTTAGGACGTCAGTAAAGGGCAAAAGAGTGGTCATTAAACTCTTTTTCACAAACATGGCAATTATTGAGACTTTTTTTAGAATTGTTTTTGAGTAAGAAAGGGGAAGAAGATAGGAGTACGAAGGGCAGGAAAAGCTGATAAAGAAGTTTCAAAACCATTACATCTAAACAAACAAACAAACAAACAAACAAGGGAGTCTGAAGGGAAAAAAATAAAATAAAATGACTCAAATATTTGGGATTGAGAGAGATGTTTCACACTTCTTAATTAAGCCCCGCCTACAAGTTCCTTCCATATTAAACATTCCATAAATTTGTGGTGGCATTGTGAGGAAAAGAAAGGGGTGAGGTCCCCGTAAGTAAATGAAGGTGTGCAAGTATTCTTGGCAGGATACTGGGTTTGTGCCCCACATGAAGTTCCTACAACCAGAAACTGCCTTCGAGAGCAAGGAATGCAACATGTAATTAAGGCCTTGCCTGAGCGGAAATTATACAGTGACATTTATTTTATTTTATTTTTTGGTTTCTCGTCCGATGTCCGGGACTTCGCCTCAATTAATCCAAATCGACATGCGTCGCGCATCTGAAAATGGTAGGTGAGTCTCCCAACGAAAGTTGCTACGTACATAAGGTTTCGAACTCAATATCTTACTTAAATTGAAATAAGTCGCTTACTATTTAATCTAATCTTTTGTTGGTATTATTTTATTTTATTTTTAAACAGTAAAGTGACACATCTAAATGAAAGAGGGGAATGTAGGGTCATGCCCATGCCTGTAAGTAAATGGGTTTCATTGGTGGATTGAGATTAGAATAGATGCCATGCCCACTGACTCTTTCTCCATGATCCTGGAGGAGCAGTAAATGGTATTGTCAGGGTGAAGCTGGCTTTCAAAACATTATTTTGTGTACCTATTTGGTTAGTAAATGAACAATATTGATGCCTTTTCTACTAAATTAAGGGATAAGTGAGTAATAGCCAATATTAACATTTTTTTTTTCAGTTATTCTTCCAACCAAATAATAAAATAAGCTTTTAGGGATTTCTTGTCCTACGTTAGAGGGGTTTCGTGTCTCAGATTAAAAGTTTCCGGAGGTTTGTATGACATTAATATATGTTAGTTTCCCATTAACTTTGTCTGATGAAACCATTGTAGCTCATTACGCTTCATTTAAGGAACCTGTATCTCATTATTTATCTTTCCTCTAATTGGAAAAATAAACTACT